ATGTACCTGAAAGCTGACTCTGGCCAAGTCAACAAGGACATTTACGAGACGCTGTCTCCTGTGGAGAAAATGCTGAGTAACAGGCTAAGTAGGATGGTAACAAGAGGAAAAAGAGGTCGGAAAGTACCTGTTCTGTTTCTTGACCGCACTAAAGCTTCCATTGATTTCATGATTGAGCTCAGGGACAAAGTTGGGGTTCTTAAGGACAATCCATTTTTGTTTGCCAACATTGACACCAAAACAAATATTCGTGGCTGTGACTGTTTGAGGAAATTTTCTATTGAATGTAAAGTGGATAATCCACAACTGCTCAGATCCACCAACTTGCGAAAACATGTGGCAACATTGTGCCAGCTACTGGACCTCTCCAACCAAGAGCTTGAGCAGGTAGCAAAGTTTATGGGACATGACATCAGAGTACACTGTAACTACTACAGGCAGACTGATAAAACCTTCCAAGTAGCTAAAGTTGGAAAGCTTCTATTTGCAATGGAAGGTGGAGCCAAAGCACTTAAAGGAAACAATCTTAAGACCCTGGATTCAGCAGTATATGGTCTGTACTGTAAAATAAAAAAAACATTTTTTAGTAGAAGTCATATGATGCTTATAGAGCCTTTTTTCTTTCTTTCTTTTTTTACAGCCGAAACAGAGATTCAATCAAAGAGCGAAGAGGAGCGCCACTCCAGTAAGGAACCTTGTCTATGTTGTACAATATTGTCTGCAATACTAGTTAACTGTAACACATAACACAACATAGGCCCTGTATAAACTATAAGTGCATTAATATACTTCTGCCATTAAGTGTAACAACTTAACAATAATGTTTAAAGTGGGCACTCCACATAAGTAACCTGAATATGTATTTGTCTTCAGTGTCTGAACACTCTGACAGAGAGGACCACGAAGAGGAAAGCCCCCTGGACCGGGCGTCCAAGATTAAACCACACAGAAAGAGACCCTTGAACAAAGGCACTGATGGTACGATTACTTTGGTTAACTTTATTCATTTTTACTTAGTACCGGTACTTAACAAATACTGGGTTTAGTCCAGGTTTAGACTTGGTCCTGCTCACTGATCTTTGTGACTAAAGTTTTCAGACGTTATTGACTGCGGAATTCTTCCGTTATTGTAAATGTTTTTTTATTCTGCCCCTGTCCGGAGCTTTTCAGTTGGAACTCAACATTTTAATGAAGTTTATTATGTGTCTTTTGTCTTCAGAGTTTGATGGAGCTGATGGAGACGAAGAGGAAAGCCCCCTGGACCGGGCGCCCGAGATTAAACCACACAGAAAGAGACCCTTGAACAAAGGCACTGATGGTACGATTACTGTCTATTTTTTTTCTTTACCTTTTCTTAGTTTTGGCTCCAAGGGATTGAAACAGCTAAACATTTCCATGTTTGTTTTTTAACCTCTTAACCCCAACCTGAACCGAGCACTTTTTCACCAGTTAAACCCACATCTAAAAGCAACAGTAACACTATAAAAAAGCAACAAAAAACACAACTAAAGTGATGAAAAAGCCACAAAAGCGCAACAAAAAGGTGACAAAGATATGACTCGCACTATGCAATACTAGTTAACTGTAACACATAACACAACATAGGCCCTGTATAAACTATAAGTGCATTAATATACTTCTGCCATTAAGTGTAACAACTTAACAATAATGTTTAAAGTGGGCACTCCACATAAGTAACCTGAATATGTATTTGTCTTCAGTGTCTGAACACTCTGACAGAGAGGACCACGAAGAGGAAAGCCCCCTGGACCGGGCGTCCAAGATTAAACCACACAGAAAGAGACCCTTGAACAAAGGCACTGATGGTACGATTACTTTGGTTAACTTTATTCATTTTTACTTAGTACCGGTACTTAACAAATACTGGGTTTAGTCCAGGTTTAGACTTGGTCCTGCTCACTGATCTTTGTGACTAAAGTTTTCAGACGTTATTGACTGCGGAATTCTTCCGTTATTGTAAATGTTTTTTTATTCTGCCCCTGTCCGGAGCTTTTCAGTTGGAACTCAACATTTTAATGAAGTTTATTATGTGTCTTTTGTCTTCAGAGTTTGATGGAGCTGATGGAGACGAAGAGGAAAGCCCCCTGGACCGGGCGCCCGAGATTAAACCACACAGAAAGAGACCCTTGAACAAAGGCACTGATGGTACGATTACTGTCTATTTTTTTTCTTTACCTTTTCTTAGTTTTGGCTCCAAGGGATTGAAACAGCTAAACATTTCCATGTTTGTTTTTTAACCTCTTAACCCCAACCTGAACCGAGCACTTTTTCACCAGTTAAACCCACATCTAAAAGCAACAGTAACACTATAAAAAAGCAACAAAAAACACAACTAAAGTGATGAAAAAGCCACAAAAGCGCAACAAAAAGGGACAAAGATATGACTCGCACTATGCAATACTAGTTAACTGTAACACATAACACAACATAGGCCCTGTATAAACTATAAGTGCATTAATATACTTCTGCCATTAAGTGTAACAACTTAACAATAATGTTTAAAGTGGGCACTCCACATAAGTAACCTGAATATGTATTTGTCTTCAGTGTCTGAACACTCTGACAGAGAGGACCACGAAGAGGAAAGCCCCCTGGACCGGGCGTCCAAGATTAAACCACACAGAAAGAGACCCTTGAACAAAGGCACTGATGGTACGATTACTTTGGTTAACTTTATTCATTTTTACTTAGTACCGGTACTTAACAAATACTGGGTTTAGTCCAGGTTTAGACTTGGTCCTGCTCACTGATCTTTGTGACTAAAGTTTTCAGACGTTATTGACTGCGGAATTCTTCCGTTATTGTAAATGTTTTTTTATTCTACCCCTGTCCGGAGCTTTTCAGTTGGAACTCAACATTTTAATGAAGTTAATTATGTGTCTTTTGTCTTCAGAGTTTGATGGAGCTGATGGAGACGAAGAGGAAAGCCCCCTGGACCGGGCGCCCAAGATTAAACCACACAGAAAGAGACCCTTGAACAAAGGCACTGATGGTACGATTACTGTCTATTTTTTTTCTTTACCTTTGCTTAGTTTTGGCTCCAAGGGATTGAAACAGCATAAAACACACATAAAAAGTGGCAATGTAGCGTCAAAAACATGCTGTAAAAGCAACAGTAACACTATTAAAAAAATTAAAAAAACACAACTAAAGTGATGAAAAAGCCACAAAAGCGCAACAAAAAGGTGACAAAGATATGACTCGCACTATGCAATACTAGTTAACTGTAACACATAACACAACATAGGCCCTGTATAAACTATAAGTGCATTAATATACTTCTGCCATTAAGTGTAACAACTTAACAATAATGTTTAAAGTGGGCACTCCACATAAGTAACCTGAATATGTATTTGTCTTCAGTGTCTGAACACTCTGACAGAGAGGACCACGAAGAGGAAAGCCCCCTGGACCGGGCGTCCAAGATTAAACCACACAGAAAGAGACCCTTGAACAAAGGCACTGATGGTACGATTACTTTGGTTAACTTTATTCATTTTACTTAGTACCGGTACTTAACTCATTGACTGCCATTGACGTGTTAACACGTCAAACTAAATAGTAACGTTGTCTGCCAATGACGTGTTAACACGTCAATTGCGTTTCCCGCTATTTTTACGTTCCCAGCTGTCCATTGAATCTAATATGTGGAGATTGGCTTGAGGCAATACTTTATGGAGCCAGCAGATGGCAGCATTGCGCTATGAATGGTTTGAACACAGCTAGATGCACTGTTTGTGGCCCTTTTTTCTCAGCTTTCTGGTGATTTCAATAAAACTTCCCTCTACTCAACTGGGGATTACAGAAGAACTAAACAAGATAGAAACAAAATTCTTTTTGCTGGTGAGAGTAGACAGCCCATTCTTTCAGAATCTAGTTTTAGATTTCAGATAGTCAAAGTACACAATATTCTGTGGGTCTTGAAAAATCAGTAAAAACCACCAGAAACGGCTGGCAATATGGGAGTACCTGTTTTGAAATGGGCTGGCAGTCAATGAGTTAAAGAACGTCTCACCCCCGCTGCTCGAGGCTTACGTCACTCACAGTCTCTGTTCAAATCTCCCTCCAAATGGGGCGTGCCTGGAGGACTGAGGGGGACAAGCGGGGAGGGGGACTTTTGGGCGGGTCTAGGCTGTGATTGACACTTGACAGCGTCATTGGCATTGACCAAAATGGAGAGCGACAACAGCGATGCTAGCTCGTTCGCGTGTGATCGGTCTCGGGAGGTGGAGGACTTTTCTCCACCTTCCTCCCCGGAGGTTGAGAGACAGGACGTCCTACGGAGGCGTGTGCGGGAGGGAGTGGGTTTTATACGGCTGCAGTGATGACGTTCTCTGGTACCGTGACGGTCCTTGGGTAAGGTCATTGGCCAATCACATAATTCAACGTTTGTTGAATGTTTTTAACCTGCAGAGGGCAGTAACCGCTCGGCTTTGGACCCAAAATAGGGACTTTGAACTAATTTTGCACAAAATTTCAAAATATTGACTAGGACATGTGGACAACTCTATTTGACACCCATTTAGGCAGCTTATCAGTAAAAAAAAGTGGATTTGGGGTTTAGTTGCACTTTAACAAATACTGGATTTCAAACCCCTCCACCACGTTAAGGTGGCAGTTCCACTAAAGTTTTCAGATGTTATTGACTGCGGAATTCTTCCGTTATTGTAAATGTTTTTTTATTCTGCCCCTGTCCGGAGCTTTTAAATTGGAACTCAACATTTTAATGAAGTTTATTATGTGTCTTTTGTCTTCAGAGTTTGATGGAGCTGATGGAGACGAAGAGGAAAGCCCCCTGGACCGGGCGCCCGAGATTAAACCACACAGAAAGAGACCCTTGAACAAAGGCACTGATGGTACGATCTTGTCTTTTTTTTCTTTATCTTTTCTTAGTTTTGGCTCCAAGGGATTGAAACAGCTAAACATTTCCATGTTTGTTTCTTAACCCCCACCTGAACCGAGCACTTTTTCACCAGTTTGACCCAAATCTAAAAGCAACAAAAAAGGGGATAAAAACACACACAAAAAGTGGCAATGTAGCGTCAAAAACATGCTGTAAAAGCAACAGTAACAAAAAAACATAATTAAAGTGATGAAAAAGCCACAAAAGCGCAACAAAAAGGTGACAAAGATATGACTCACAAACTATGAAACACACGACATAAAAGCTTTAAAAATGTGACAAAAACGTGGCAACAAAAATGTTGCGGTTAGCTTTCAAATGAGGCGTTAACCCTGTCCCATATAGGCTGTAAGCTTCAGTCGAGAAGCTTTTTAGATTTGGGTAATATTGAACCGGGGAAAATGCACTCTGTTAAGGCGGGTGTTAAGAGGTTAAATATGGAGGTGAAGTGGAGTAACTGTTAATATTTTCTTCTATTGCCTATTTTCTTTTAATTAGAAGATTGGATGTGTCGGCTATAAAAACACAATTTATGCACAATTTAACACATTTTGGTTAGTAAACTAAAAATATCTATTCATATTAGCCTTAGTATAATCAATGAAAGAATACCTCATGAGAGATTTCTTTGATAATGTTATCAAAATTAGCCTGATTTCAGTTACAAATGATTTAGACCCTGGACATCATAATGTTTCTTCAGATATGTTTAGTCCAATATTTGACATTGAGACTTATTGTAAGATTTGTGCAAATATGACGTTTAACTTCAATTAAACACTCTCTCTCAGGTGCTCCAAAACAGACCAAGAGACCATGGAGTGCGGAGGAAAAGAATGCAGTGGAAAGAAGGATGGGCAAATTCATTGCTGTGAGACGGGTTCCTCGGAAAGAAGCCTGCATGTTGTGCATCACACAGGAGTCCCCAGCACTGAAGAACCGCACGTGGAAAGATGTCAAGTATTATGTTTACAATGAGATAATTAAAGTCAAGAGAAGGCTGTTTTAGGAATGCTAAAGTTAAGATGTTTAAGTTTGATTTTCTGCTGTGGTTCTGTCAGCCCCAGTTAGTTGTAGTATTTAAAAAGTTGTTCATTCACCCATGTGCACTGTAAAGGGCATATATAGTTTCCTTGAATTTCCCTGTTTTGGGACAAAGCCTTCTTGGTCAGGTTTTATGCCTGTTAAGCACTTTTCAGTTATGGTTAAAATAGATTTACATTCTATTAGCTAGGGCCTCATTTCCTAGTTATCCCAAGTGTTGTTGATGTCTGGAGATATTTTTTTTTCTTAAATTCATGCAGTTCTTATATTTGAAGAGCTAGGCTAATGCTAGGCTAACACATTTCTATGGTATCAGCAACCCTGCATTAAAAACTCCACAGTGCACCTGAGGCAAATCACTTGTAACACCAGACTAACAATATAATTGTCTGTGTTAATAGAATAATTTTGGAAATATACATTTTTTTCGCAGATCACTCCACCGCTGCATAGCTTACAACCACGAAGCTGATGCTGCTCAAATATAAATTATTTTAAATGCTGTGTTAATAGAATAATTTTAACCATTTTGCATTTAAAATAACTTATATTTGAGCAGCCTCATTTGTGGTTGTAAGCTAACGCAGCGGCGGAGTGATCTGCGAGAAAATAGTCCCTCAAAATGCGGTAATTCATGTGATACAAGGTCAGTTATATTTCAAAAAATATTCTATTAACACAGACATTTATATGGTTAGTCTGGTGTTCTAAGTGATTTACCTCAGGTGCACTGTGGAGCGGGTCAGACTGTTTTTAATTCAGGCTAACATAGAATTGCGTTAGCCTTGCACTAGCCTAGCGCCACTAAGCTCTTTAAATATAAGAACTGCATGAATTTAAGAAAAAATATATCTCCAGACATCAACAACACTCTGGATAACTAGGAAATGAGGCCCTATGTCAAAAATACCAAAATATCCCTTTAAGGTGAAAGGGGTAGAGTTAAAAGGGTGCTCCGCTTGGAGCAGAGTGAGAGAAAGGCACAGGAGCAGACCAGGGAAAGTCTGTTGTAGCTAGGAAAACTCCACCGCACACTCTTCAAACACAACACGCGGCCTTTTAGAGCAGCAGAGCTTGTCAGAAAGTCACTGGCTTTTTTGCTGGTGTCATTTTGCTACGGAGCGCCTAAAACGCTGATAAATTGGCCGCACGTAAGGCAGACATGGAGCGGCGGACACAATTTTACGACTTAGCCATTTTCCCAATTGTCTGTTTTTAAAAGCATTAATTAATTCGATTTATCGCCCAGCCCCACTATGAGCCAAACATGTTGCACTTATAACATGAGAGTAAAGCAGGCGCACACATCCAAGTACCTAAACGAGCGTGCTGGCCCCAAAAAGATGAATAAGCAAACAAAGAAAAAAAAAAACTTGAGCTGTGCAGAACTCTTTTTTTTTTTTTTTTTTTCTCTGTTTGTGCACTTATAAGATGAGACACAATGTACTGTTGTCCTGGTTAAAGACCAATATTTTTATTTTATTTGCAAGCTGCCAGATATTAATTGTAATAATTAATACATTTTTATTTTATTGATGATCAAAGCTGAAATTGTGGTGTGCATATTGAAGGGGTGTCTCTCATCCAGCAAGTTTTCGGGGCGTGTCTCAGCCTTCCTTTTGGTTCGACCTGTTCTGGCCTTATTGCTGTGGCTTGAGTGGAATAAAGTTGCCTCACTTGCAGCTCGCATGTGTCCTCGTCTTTCTCGCCACAAAATAACTGTTTTATTTTAAGCCCTCAAATAATTTGGGTTTGTTCTGCAAAAAATATAAAGGCAGATACACTTAAAACATTTTGGTCTAGTTTGTGGTGTTTAATTCACCTAATTAGGGGGCACAGTAGCTCAGCGGTTGTGCTTCACAGCTAGAATGTCCCGGGTTCGATTCCCACCTGGACGGGGTTTTTCAGTGTAGTTTGTCTGTGGGGGACCTCCCAAAAAAGCAAATTAACAGTATTGATGAGAATTAACTTTTTCATAAATTTCATTAAAAGCATGAAACAATTATTCGAAGATAAATACTCATTCAAAATACTAATAAAAAAAACAAAACATTTGTAACTCGCTTGCACTCAACTACGTATAATTCTATGTACTTGTCATGTAGGCAATCTTTGGGGGACCCCTGCAGTGCCTCTGAGACCCCCCAGAAGGCCCTGGACTGCACTTTGTGAACCACTGTTCTACACATTGTATTTATAGTTCATAGTGTGATGGGTCCTCAGTATGATGATTAAAAACTTTTTCTTAAATCTTGCTCCTAAAAATATTTTAATGGAGTGTATAGCTCCGCAGCTCCAACTAGTGTCTAGAAAGTGTATTTTTTTCTTCTTGAAACACTGGGAAAGGCATGTCCTCAGTTTGGAGGTTTTTAACTCAGACCTCACTTTGTAGGCTTTGCAGGAATGTGTGTGTGTGTGTGTGTGTGTGTGTGTGTGTGTACGTGTGTATATGTGTGTGCGTACGTGTGTATATGTGTGTGCGTACGTGTGTATATGTGTGTGTGTACGTGTGTATATGTGTGTGTGTGTACGTGTGTATATGTGTGTGTATGTGTGTGCGTACGTGTGTATATGTGTGTGTGTACGTGTGTATATGTGTGTGTGTGTACGTGTGTATATGTGTGTGTGTGTACGTGTGTATATGTGTGTGTGCGTACGTGTGTATATGTGTGTGTGCGTACGTGTGTATATGTGTGTGTGTACGTGTGTATATGTGTGTATATGTGTGTGCGTACGTGTGTATATGTGTGTGTGTGTACGTGTGTATATGTGTGTATATGTGTGTGCGTACGTGTGTATATGTGTGTGTGCGTACGTGTGTGTATATGTGTGTGTGCGTACGTGTGTATATGTGTGTGTGCGTACGTGTGTGTGTGTGTGTGCGTACGTGTGTATATGTGTGTGTGTACGTGTGTATATGTGTGTACGTGTGTATATGTGTGTGCGTACGTGTGTATATGTGTGTGTGCGTACGTGTGTATATGTGTGTGTGTACGTGTGTATATGTGTGTATATGTGTGTGCGTACGTGTGTACGTGTGTATATGTGTGTGTGTGTACGTGTTGTATGTGTGTGTGTGTACGTGTGTATATGTGTGTGTGTGTGTACGTGTGTATATGTGTGTATATGTGTGTGCGTACGTGTGTATATGTGTGTGTGTACGTGTGTATATGTGTGTGTGTGTACGTGTGTATATGTGTGTGTGTGTACGTGTGTATATGTGTGTGCGTACGTGTGTATATGTGTGTGTGTACGTGTGTATATGTGTGTGTGTGTACGTGTGTATATGTGTGTGTGTAGGTGTGTATATGTGTGTGTGTGTACGTGTGTATATGTGTGTGTGTACGTGTGTATATGTGTGTGTGTGTACGTGTGTATATGTGTGTGTGTACGTGTGTATATGTGTGTGTGTACGTGTGTATATGTGTGTATATGTGTGTGCGTACGTGTGTATATGTGTGTGTGTACGTGTGTATATGTGTGTGTGTGTACGTGTGTATATGTGTGTATATGTGTGTGCGTACGTGTGTATATGTGTGTGCGTACGTGTATATATGTGTGTGCGTACGTGTGTATATGTGTGTGTGCGTACGTGTGTATATGTGTGTGTGCGTACGTGTGTATATGTGTGTGTGCGTACGTGTGTATATGTGTGTGTGTACGTGTGTATATGTGTGTGTGTGTGTACGTGTGTATATGTGTGTGCGTACGTGTGTATATGTGTGTGTGCATACGTGTGTATATGTGTGTGTGTACGTGTGTATATGTGTGTATATGTGTGTGCGTACGTGTGTATATGTGTGTGTGTACGTGTGTATATGTGTGTGTGTGTACGTGTGTATATGTGTGTATATGTGTGTGCGTACGTGTGTATATGTGTGTGTGTACGTGTGTATATGTGTGTGTGTGTACGTGTGTATATGTGTGTGTGTACGTGTGTATATGTGTGTGTGTGTACGTGTGTATATGTGTGTGCGTACGTGTGTATATGTGTGTGTGTACGTGTGTATATGTGTGTGTGTACGTGTGTATATGTGTGTGTGTACGTGTGTATATGTGTGTGTGTACGTGTGTATATGTGTGTGTGTACGTGTGTATGTGTGTGTGTGTACGTGTGTATATATGTGTGTATCCCTGTGGTAGTAACATTTTAAAACCGTTTTGACTTTTCTGGAAGTAGAGTTTGAAGGATAGCATTAAGCTAGCGATAGCATTAAGCTAGCGATAGCATTAAGCTAGCGATAGCATTAAGCTAGCGTCAGTGTAGCATGTTGAAGTCTTCCAGTCTGGATTTGCGCTCGTACCGCTCCGATGTCACAAAGATTTCCCTAAAAGCGTGGTCTATGTACGGATCTGTCCCACTTTAGATTAGCCCTCCATAACTGACAGCTAATAAAGAGCTAATTAAGTGCTAATGAGTGAACCCTAGCTCTCTAACCCACATGAGGAGGTGTCAGTTAGTTCTTAATAAATGCCACTTAAGAGCTAATTACCCATAAACGATACACTAAATAGCACTTAAACAGAGAGGGCTAATATCTAAAGTGTGACTGTGTCTGTTTGTCCCGATGCTAACGGCTATAAGCTAAGTCGTGGGTGTCAAAGTCAAGGCCCAGGGGCCAGATCCGGCCCGCAAATGAATTATCTTGACCCCGGGATGATATTTGATTAGCATTCGAACCGGCCTGCAGAGAGAGAGACCAGAGAGAGAGACAAGAGAGAGACCAGAGAGAGAGAGAGAGAGAGACCAAAGAGAGAGAGACCAGAGAGACCAGAGAGCAAGAGAGAGAGAGAGAGACAAGAAAGTGAGACAAGAGAGAGACCAGAGAGAGCGAGAGAGAGAGAGAGGCCAGAAAGAGAGACAAGAGAGAGACCAGAGAGAGCGAGAGAGAGAGAGAGAGAGAGAGAGACCAGAGAGAGACCAGAGAGAGAGAGAGAGAGAGAGAGAGAGAGACCAGAGAGATA